GCTTGGTGTGGCGTGGTGATTGGCTGAAGTCCCTAATGGGAGTCAATCATCTGCCGGCGTAGCTAGCATCCGGATGGGTGACCACCTGGGTGTATAGTGACGAAACCTTGCTCCACATACACACGTGTTACTCGAACCCAACCGTGACGTCTAAAAAAGATGCTGTTATCCATAGTGCAAGGTTTATTTACAATCAAATTGTCATATACAAAATAATTTGTAATATTCAATTAATAAAAAATAAAAAGAATGCAGTTGGGGCTTGGTGTGGCGCGGTGATTGGCTGAAGTCCCTTAGGGGTGTCAATCATCGGCCGGCGTAGCTAGCATCCGGATGGGTGACCACCTGGATGTTTAGTGACGAATCCTAGCTCCACATATATACGTTTTACAACCGTGACCCCTACAAAAAATGTTGATTGTCCTAGTTTTACGTTACTTTAGACAAAAAAATCCAAATTATTTATAATAATTATAGATTTACTAGAACCGCTAACAATTACGATTATTTTAGTGGTGTCAGTTATTGGCAGAGGAAGGGGAAAAAGTTTATCTCCCAGATAATTCTCAAATAATTCCAAAATAAAATTATTTCAATACGTTATTCAGTTGCTTCAAATCTAGACATCTTCCTAGAATTTTTATAAAACATATGAAATTTAAATAACTAATAAAAATATGTTGCTTTTAGAAAGACATTTCATCTGAATGTGTAGTCTCCAATTGTTCAAATGCATCTTACAAGTATGAAACATATAAAATTTTAGTTAGCAGATATCATTCATCTCCGTTGATTCGAAATAATAATAATCACTGTCATATTAAAACTTTCATTACTAAATGAGATCTGCTGACATTAATGAGGACTGGTAGCTCGGCGTATCAAATATAATACTAACTACAGTAGAAACTGGATTAACTGTCAATGTTGGGTCCGGGGCATTGACGGTTAATCGAATAGACGGTTAACAGACATACAATAATACAAAACAATTTTTCAATAAACCTATATATTTTACAACGTAATTTTCAGACAAATAATATATATAAATAATAATGAATAATAAAAACTAATAATATATAATACATATATAATAACATAGAGAATACCATTCTAAATAATATAAACAAAATAATCCCTCATCTTTTATGGTTTTTTTGATTCACGAGCTTTTTGAGCGGTTATTTTACGAAGAAGTAAGACCTGCGTTTCATTTGCCTCCTCTTGTACCTCAAACCAATCAATGCATTTTTTTAACATTGCTTCTACTTCTGCGTGGCTAGTTGATGGTTTGAAACGGTACGCCGATATTCTGTGACCTATATTATTTATAAATAATTTATAATACAATTTTATTGTATCATGTATGGTTTATTCTTATATCACAAATGTATGTACAATTATGCGGAGGGGACTTAAATCTGGGCTGCTCGGTTGGCTTGAGTAAGCGGGCGGTATCGGACCCGTAGAGGTGCGGCTATAAAAACAATGTTTGGGCACTTATTCTAGACTTATTGCGATATCTGTTCCACGGTCTTGCGTAAGTCGCGGTCAGATAATGCAGCTCGTGAAGAATGCTGTGGACTGCCCAGTGGTTGTTATGCGTTGGTCGGTGAATACTGGTTGACTCGGCTCGGAATGGCGGTGCTCAGTAAACTACGGACACGTTTTGACCGTTTACGACTCACGACGCACTGCGGTGGTGGTGGAGTATTGGAAACTGCCGGGGCAGACTATTTGATGTCCGTTCGTGATTGATAGGAATATATCGTCCGGCTCATCAAGTCTGAGGGCATATGGCTGTTATAGATTTCAGATTGGTGTCCGTTCGTGTACGACATAAATATCGTCCGGCTCACAAGTCACAAGTCTCTATCCTCAGCGGGAGAGGGTGAGTGACGATTCGACGGCGAGCGGTCTGTATTTCTGTGGTTCGATGCTTGCTGGTCCGATTAAAAAATCGTGTTATGCTTTTCTTCGTTCAGTTGGCTCCTTGTGGGTGCTTCGTATTTAAGAGTAACAAACTTATAGTTTATATGTCGCTGATTCTAAATATACAAACCTCAAACTTGTGTTGCATGGCTTTCGTGTGGAAAACTCAGTTTTCCTGCGGATGGTGCGCGCTCGGATAATCATGCATCGGTCGGCGCTATCTGGATTCTCGTACGGCAACCGCGTGCTGTTGATAAATTGATCTCGCAAGGCGGCATTAGATATTGGTCGTTGTTGATAGCGTTGTCTATGATCGCGGTTTCCATATTTCTTGAGAAGTCAGGAGGAGATGGCCATGTGTTAATTTTGAGGTATCTTGTTTCCATGACCGTTGTCATATTATGTTGTTAGATATTATTCTGGTTATGAATTTGGCTGTTTAGGGTAAAATAATTAAGTCTAATGGCATTAGTGGAGTTTATTGCTTGGCGTGCTTTTTCGTCAGCTCTTTCGTTTCCCGGAATTTGATTGTGACTGGGTATCCATATTAAGGCGATTGATTAGCCGGTGTGTGTAAGGTTGTAGATCTGGTTCTGGATTTTTCTGGCCATCTCATTTGGATTGGAAATGTTTTCAATACTCCTCAAGGTACTAAGTGAGTCGCTAAGGATTACTGTTTTATGTATGCAATTTGTTTTAATGAGGTCTAGGGCCAATGATATTGCCATTGCTTCGGCTGTGTATATCATAAACTAAAAAAAGAAAAAAAAGAAGAAAAAAAAGTTCAACTTGATAAGTGGACACAAAAATCAAAAATCAAAGAAGGATCTTTTATTCTAAGGGTCCCACTTAACCCTCTGTTACACACATAGAAAACTATTGTAGTTTCAACACCAATTTGAGTTAATCTCATACACATGTGCACGTTATATTCCGACTAAGGTTGGTTTGGTGTTAAAACAACATCAGTAGTTTGTTAAGCGTGATTCCCAAATTATCCCGCTATTTTGGTCCTCTTGACTTCCAAATTAGGTTAAAATAACAACAATTATTGGTTATATTAAATTCCATATGTAGTTAGATTTACTATCATATTAGTTGTCAAATCTACACCAACACATTTTATATTAACTACAAGCTTATTGTTATATTGGGTGTTCTATGTTTTATTTTAAGATATAGCCAAATATTTTAAAACAACACCAATCTAATGTTATCGTAAATATTTTATAAATTCATTTTGAAAATAATTTGTAAAAAAATGCAAAATTCAGAGTACGGCTTTATTGCTACAACCAAATCCACCTACTCAGATTCGAACTCGCTACCCCCGGGTTGATTATACTACCTACCTACCTATCGACTACCTATTCAGATGATGGAATCACACAAAAACATGGTATTTAAGAGAATGTTTTTATAATATAATTTTACATAATATTGCATTTCATGTGTTTAGCTGTATGTAATTCTTAATATTATATTTTTAATCATAAGAAAAATGTTTACATATTAACATTTTCATATTATTATCTATTAATTGCTATAAACATTATTATGAGACATTATACTCATACCTATCTATCATTACTCATGTTACTATGTCATTACTAAAAATTACTACCTAACTATTGTTGTCATAGTACCCATAGGCCCTATTTATATAGTTACATCTTAAATTATTATTATACTTGTTGCCTATAGTTCAGTGGCGAAGACATGATTTCTGATAAAAAACAGGAGGGGAAAACTGGAAAATCCCCCACCCTCTCAAAACTTTTTATTAAGGTAATAAAAAGCCAATGGGGGGACCTTACCTCCATGTCCACTGGCCTAGTTGCATTTTAACTAGACAAGTTTAAATTTATTTATCTTGTCATCTTGATACACAATGTAATTTCATATGTCCATACCATTATTTTTATCTAGGTAGGTATTTTAATAGGTAATGTTATATAAATACAATTCGTTTTGATGAAAAAGTACTGTATAGTAGGTACCTACTACCTAGGTATATATTATATGAAGGTATTACAGATTAGGTATATAGTTTGAATAAAATCCTAATAACATTATAATATAGGTAAAAACATTGTATAATTTATTTCATAAACATAATTATGTTAATAGTTAAAGGTAAGTATATTTATTATATTACATAGTATAAAATTAGTACAAAAAAAAATACAATTATTACAATTGAAAATTAAAATTATAGTGCATATCTTAATGACGCATACATATTACCATTTCCCAAAACTCTAAGAACTGTAGGCGTCGAATTAGGTAAATCTTTTATATAACAACCTTTTAGATTATTTTCTTTTTCATCATATTTCGTTAATTGATATGCATGGAAATGAGAGTCGAACCCGACAGTAAGAAAAAGCTCACACACTATGTATGGAGTTCTTGAAATTCGTGAAATTTTAGCTTTTAATTTTGATATTATGCCAGATGAAAACAATTCTGTTGTTCCATCTATAATATCTTGCATTAAGGAACTTGTCATATTACTTTTAGAACTTAATTTAGTTATAAATTTTAAAATACTACATTTTACCACATCATCAAAAGTTGTAAAAACAATATCTTCCTCTTTACCCTCACCAACAACTAAAGGGACTTTAAATCCTGGAGTGGATTCATTATAACTCGTTACATCTATAATGTCTTTACTAGTCTTATGAATATGAGTCGAAAATCCTGATATTGGATTTGGTATAGAATGTACTTGATTTAGATGACGTCTAAATTTATCCAACCCTTGAAAGCCTTTTGCACATTCTCCTTGTTTACAATAATACACTGATTCAGAGTCCAAGTTATTATGATAAAATTTCATGTGCAAAAAAAGTTGATCAATGGTAGGAAAAGATACATAGCATACAAAGCAAGAGTACATTTTAACTTATTTTTACTTTAAAATAGGTTAAATATAAAAGTAATTAATAATTAATACATAAAATTATAGAGTACAATAAAGTTAAGGTGTTTCATAACAAATAAGTCACCTGTTTATAAACAATAAAAAAAAAATATTTTCTTCAATTTAAATTAATTTTATCAATAGGCTAAAAATAATTAAGTTATTCTTTTAATAAAAATGAATAAGACCAGCGCTTAAAAATAATAGTTATGTAGATATAAATATTGTGTTTAACAAGTATACTGTTCCTGACTCTTGTAAAACTATTCAAACATTCCTATTACAGTTGTTGTAATGGATGTAGGTCTGTCATATTCTGTATTTAGTTTAAATAACAACTGTTGAATGACTAACCAACTATCGTGGGATTCTTTCGGGTAACTTCGGTGAAATACAAAATAAGATTTGAAGCACACTTCTAGTGCTTTCAGGGGACATTCAAAGCACCAAAAGTGTTCATCTATTCTGACATAGATTGATGAAATGGATTCTATATCTGGACCAACAAACACAATATAAGGTTGGATAGTAGCTCCGTACTCAGAGTATCTATTTTGTCTTTGGGTAAAATCCTCGTTAAAATTTGTAATATTCTGAAATTATTTAAAAAAAAAAAAAAAAAACAATAAATAGACAAATAAATAAAACTATATAATTATTCAATGATAGGTAGGTTCACTAATATTTTTCAATCATTATAAAAAATGTTAATAATTAATTAACTAACCGTTACATGAGTCGCAAATGATAAGGCTGATTCAAACAGTGATGGTTTCCAAAACTTGTTTCTTGCGTTAGAAGAACAATTTTTTATTTGAGTTTTTGTTGGTATGAGGTATGGAACTAATAGTATCCGTATAATATTAGAAGTCATTAAATCTGAAAAATTAGAATACTTTAAAAAATTATTTAAAATAATACATAAAAAGAGCCGTGCTTAAAGTGAGAGAGGCAAATAACAGAGTGCTCCTTTTTAAGATTAAGACTTCAAAGTTTGAAGTCTATAGGGAATGCTTTAGGAATTGTCACTGAAATTTGTTAAAGCAAATTTTATAAAATAATAATTAATTAACAAGAGGTAAAAGAATTTAAAAAAGAAATTGTTTAAGAAATAAACTAATGTTAAACGATAAATTTATATCTGCACATATTTAATATGAATACATATTATTATAGGTACATAGTTAATAAATTTAATATTGAATATTAATATCTCACCTCCATTCAAATTTGAAGAATCCAAACGTTTGAGAAGTGTTAGGGCATGCTTATCCTTTATAGATGATTTTCTGATCTCAATCAAACGTTTGGAAAACTTTTCCCAGGAATTCTTAAAATCTTCATGTGTATTAGTTTTTTGGTATCCAATTTTAAAATCCTCCAGAATCTAATGATAATAATATAATTTATTATTAGATTTATTTATTACATACATCTAAATAGAATAATAAATGAAAAATAAATGTACATACTAGTTCATAACTATTAGGACCTTGAAATATTGGCCATGCTTTAAACACATCAGATAAGGAAGTTAAATCAAATATGTCATTTTTCCTTAAGTTAAAGGTGAATTCCCACTTGTCTCTAATATCATATAAATTAAAATTTAGCCCATCAGAAATAAGCCATTTTTTAACTTCAAGTACTTCATCTAAAATAAATATAAAATAATTAGTTTCTAAAGTTTTAGGTATTGAAGGTAATTTATAATTTACCTGAAAAATGTATAGACTGGGATATTGTATTTACAGTTTTTGATGGCTTTACTCTATCATATGATATAGCACCAACACATCTTAGCCTACGTGCAACATTCTTCCATCTCTCAATTAACTTTCCTTTTGCATGCGTTTGATGACTACCTTCAGTTTTTGACGGGATAAAATAAACAGACTGTAAATAATAAATTATAGTAATATTAACATAAAATGTAATAAACAATAAAGTTATTAAATAGGTATTACATTAATTTTCATTAAATTCTATAGGTAATTTGAAATATTAAGTTTAAAATTACAGTTCAACAGTTGCAATAGGTAAGTTGATACTATAGTATATTACTACCAATAATCAATATACCTAACATGCTATAATGCATTTTAATGTATGTGTTTGTACCTTACCTTTTGTTCTTTTGGAAAAACTTGCCAATTGGTCATTAACACACTATTAGTTATACACTATATTACAATATTGCATATATGCCCCCTACGCCGTTTTACACTATTGTAAATTGAAATATTTATTACTTGAGTTCGTATTATTCGTATCGTGTTTGCTGTTCCGATAGATATTAGATACTAGATAGTTAATAATTGTATTGCACTATTGCATCAACCGTATACTCTTGTTTTCATTGTTTAAATTGTTTTAAATTGTAATATAATGAGTGATTGTGATTCTTCAACCGAAGTCGATCACGTAGCAGATTTAGAAGAACCAATTTTACCATGGCAAAATTATCAAAAATATTTCTAAGTATTATGAAATATGATTCATTGAGGTAAATATTTTTTACCAGAAGCAGAAAGGGAAGTTCTTAAGTTGTGTCGATACAAAGTGTGACAAGGTAGATTCACGTTCAAACTCTAATATATGAAAACATTTAAGCGTAAGTAAAATGTTAATTTCATACTTGCCTATGACAGTTGACCCATCTAATATCTTGTTTGTAAAATTCATTTTAAATACCACACAAACACCTAATATATTACAAAAATACATCAATAACAGTGGCGCACAGCTTTTTAAAAGTCAAATTTCAAGTGCTTAAGATGTATCATAGATCTCATTATTCTATATTATGTATTTTCATGGGCCCCCATACGAGTCATCTCAGAGCCCAGAGCGGCCCAGTATTCTAGTGTATATGAAATAAAATAAAATAAATAACCCCCTGTCCCCTCAAAAATAAATCCCAGTTGCGCCACTGATCAAAAAATGTAAATTATTTATCAAAACTTATAATGTTAAGTAAAAGGTTATATTATTTCATTTTTTATACAGATACAACAGTCAACTCTATTAGAGAAAATTGATCACATTGATAATGCAGCGAACAAAAACACTTTAAAGAGATGCAATGATGGATCATTGAATCATAATGCTGGTAGTTCTTTAGAACAACCAGTTTTAGAAGATTTTTTGAAGAACAAAACATGAACTAGTCAAAGTAAGAATGTGTACTGTTTATTTTAATTTTTTATTTTATTAAATATTTTTTAGTTGCAACATTAACAAAAGTAGTTGATATTTACATGACTGCATGACTATATACTGATACATTGATAGTGAACGATACAGTTGTTGATGATTTAGAAGGAATTGACGCAATCAACTTGAACATTCTAAATAATGAAGACCATGATTTGCCATATGCATTACCAAAACACCATCAATGTTGTGCACACACAATAAATTTAATAGCAACAATGGTAATTAAACATTTATTTAAAATTTTAAACAGATAACCGAATATAGTTAAATTATAAAATACTATAAATATTTTTATCGAAAAGAATATATTTTGAGTAAGTATGGTGATCAGGACAAAACTATTAGGTAGTAGGTTTAACACTTAATACTCATAATCAAATTTGTATGAGTTGTTATACATTTAAAAATTAAATTTTTCTTTCAATTTAAATGATAAAAATATATGAAAAAATATATTCTTAGATATAAGAATGAATATGATTGACATTAACTATTTTCTATTATCTATGCCCAAATTTCAATTTTAAATATCAATAAATTATGTTTGCTTAATTTTTTATTAATTATTATTAATTATGAATTTGTACAAATTAAATATAAAATAAAATAATTTATTTGTATAACTTGTTTTTTCTAGGACTCTAAAAAGCTATCTTGCATACAAAAAAACAGTCATAAAGCACTTTTGCCAAGTCTACCGCTTTGTGGAATCAACAAGGTTACTCAACCAAGTCAGCTGATTTATTTAAACAAAATCTTGGTGTTTATTTAATTACACTTAACGAGACACGTTGGAATTCACTGTATGATGCAGTGGTGCTGCTTAATAAATAAATTAAAAACAATGAACTTAAGTTTAGAATAATAATGGACAAATTAGCTATTGACAGGTAAATTGTAAATCTTAAAAAATTATTAATTATTTTGTATCTCTTTTTTATGAACAATATTTTCAGATTTAATAGAAGTGATATTTATTTCATTTGTCAATGTCAAACAATTATGGGGCCAATTTCAATAAGCTTGGATTTACTCCAGGGTGATACTAACATGTACTAATTGTACTTAGGTCATCTTCTACCTACAATTAAAGTATTAATTTATAAATATGAATTACTGACAAGTGCACAAACAGTTTCTAATTATTTGAAACCTCTGGTGACTGCTATACTTAATGGTTTGTAATAATTAATATTTTTCAAATACATTAATCTTATTTAGCCAAGTACTTAAATTGTACACATTTAATTTCTTTTCATTTTAGCTGTTTTTGGTTTACTTTATTGGTAAATACTATTTACTAAGTAGTAAATATATAGTATCTCTTAGCTCTTACAGTCTTCCTGATGTATAATGTAAAATTTTAGCTGATCTATTATTTATATTTATATTTCTGTGTAGTACCTACATTTATATACTCATGAGCTAAAATAAACAAACTTTATTGATAATAATTTTTGTTTTTAGGTATGAAAACAAGGTTTGCCAATTATTTGATAGACAAATTTTTAATTACTGCTGCAGTCTGCCACCCACTATTTAAAAAAGCATGGATTACAAATGATATAAAAAAGCAATTGGCCTCAGAATATTTAAAAAGTGCCTGTTATGACTTTCATACCAGTGATAATGACAATAATGATGTAGAAGGTAACCACGTGAAAGATAATTTATCTACCTTTTTTACCTTGTCACAAAATTCCCGAGAGGAAAAATCAACAGTTAGTGATGTAATAGATAGATATTTGGGCACATCTCCAACAAAGACTTTAGAATGTTTGCATAATTTACCCACTATCAAAAAAGTAAGATTAGTTGAAAACTTCTTATTCTATTAATAGTAATATTACAAAAACATTTGTACTTAATTTTCAGGTACCTTGTGAAGTACAATACTCAACTACCTAGCAGTAGAGAGTGTTTAGTGTTCTTGGTGCAACAATTACAAAAAAAAGAACAAATATGACGGATCAGCATTTTAAACAAATAATGTTCTTAAAATATGATTATCATTTTATCTTGTTTAAAACCATAATATTTGAGTTATAATAGTTTTGTGCTAGCAGGTAATAATAATAATAAAAATAAAAAATGTTCTTAAAATGCAACACTCAAATGTTTGATTAATATAATATTTTATAAATGATTCAGAATTATATTGATTTTTTTGTTTTGTATTTGAAAATTATTTCAAATACTTCACTATAGATAGTATTTGGGTGGTATTTTAAATACTTTGTTGTATGAGTATTTGAGTAATTACGTTTTGGAAACTGCCTTTAAAACAAAAAATATTACGAATAATTGTTGTTCAACATATAATTAAAAGCATTAAACCGTATTCAGCATTAATTGTTACATCTTAATGTTATTGGAAATGCATATTACTTGGATCATGCGTTACTATATTCAGCATGGTACGATGTGACATGTGACTTATTATTAAGGTACTTAATTTAACAACTTTCTTGGCATTAACTAATTCAAATTGGTCTAGTAAATTCATGTGTACCTAACTAACAAACCTAAAATGTTCATGATTTTTTTTTTTAAATACTACCTATTTTAAAAAATATCCACAGCGACCTCTGCAAAGTATAAACTATACTTGTTTTACTTAATTTGTACTTTGTAGGGTAAGTTTTTAAAATATAAAACAATTAGTATAGGTTGGTACAATGGAAGCGATACATTTTTTTCCCCCGTCACTTACCTTTATGTGAGAGCGTTAGTTAGGTACCTACACGGCTGTATACATATTATATTATTTATTACACTATAGTGTAGTAGTATATTGTAACCACACAATTTTTTAGCAAATACATCGGTGACTGCACACTATTATAGAATAATATTTTTTAAAATTAAAATTTGCATGTTATTTTAAAATAATTATGGCAAAGCGATTACAAAACTAATAATATTGTTTAATAATATATTAATGCCGAGCCCAGAGAGAATATTAGGTATAGGCACGATTAAAGTATACAATTTTTTCATTACTTCTGTAAATTTCAAAGCCTTATTTTGAACTTTTTTCAAGTCTCGACCCTCCTAGAGTCATAATATGTTAAGTTATAGTTTAACCGCCAAGACTAAAAACAATATTGTTAGATGATGGACGTAAGTACGTAACAATTGACTAGCGACAGTAGTGTATCTAAAAATCTAAATGGCCTATACTCAGAGTGCCGTGTTCTGCGTTGTATCGACTTAAACACACCCAATGGCCAATAATATTCTGTTTCGGAATTTGAAATACAAAATGTATCGTGTAATCCAAAGAAGTCAAAAACTCGAAAACTGATGACAACATATAATATTATGATACCTTTCGTCTATGGCAAAAGCCGATCGTCGTCACTAACCGGAGACGATTCGCAATTCTAATAATTTCATTGAACAAAAGAGAAATGTGTATGGCAACAATAAAAATTTACTCACATATTTCATTTTACTCAAGTAATTTTTATAAAAAATCTCGATTTTTTCAATTCGGATTTAGGTGAAGGAAGAAGTTGCTCGATATGGCGTCTGCACTCAAAATATGGCGTCTTATTGCAGCTATATATTTCCCGAAGAGTCGATGTATACGTAAGTTTGATTAGTTATTCTTTTGGGGCTTAAATATTTAAATTTTTAGTCTCAAAATTAAAATTTGATTTGCTACCCGGGTGAAGTAGGGGCATATTTTTTATTCCAGAGCTCGCAACACAAAAAAATACGGTATCACAAACGACGACGGCATAACCAGGTCGCAGAATAATAACATATTTATAAAATTAAATAAATATAAATAGTGTTGTACATACTAGTCATATTATAGTAGTACTGTACACTGGATTTTTATGTGCCGCGAAATTCAACAATTTTTATTTTTAGTTTATATAAATGTTAAGTAATATATGAAAATTACTATGCCGTCTGCTTGTGGTCGATCCGCGAATTAAAGCGACGCCGTCGTACATCAAACATCAAAATATTTTATAAAGCTGGGAAAGTCACTCTGCTGATTATTGAATATCCATCTGAATTCAAATAAGGAAATTTTAAAATTTAAATATTCCCGAATAGCTTAAAATATACCTAACCAATGCACTTAAAATGAATACGTAAAATATTA